CAAGTTGAGCTTCTCATGGAAGTCAAGGCTGCTTTTTATTCACTCTTGCCTCAGGAAGGACAGCATCAAACAAATTTATTCTTGCAATTTTGCTTTTTTTTTTTTTTTAATTATACCTCAGAGTTTTAATCTGTCCCTTTATAGGGATCCTTCTCTGCATCTTCCCTCAGGTAACAAAATATGTGATCAAGGGTAAGTGTTACTTAGCTTTAGCCCTCTAAAATTTAAGCACTTAGTCTGTGCTACTTATCTGCATTTTTAATCAATGAAGACAAAAACCTCCTCCAAAGAGCAACTGATCCTATGCTAAAATAGCATGTCTAACATATGTGGGAAGAACCATCCTTTTGAGGTGCCTTTAATGTTGTATCCACTGACTGTAGATGAAGCTCAGATAACTAGATTAACTGGAGGGTAAGATGTGTGGAGCAATTGTTACTGGCCTGCAGCTGAAGGATGCTTAGGGATATGGTAGCACTTTAAGCCAAGGATTTCACCTTATATAAAACATTATAATAAATAATTACTTTCAAGCCTTGTGCTTAGTATTTATGAAAACTTAATTATTTTATGAAGTTTAAAAACTAGTATCACTCAGTTGCTTTTTAAAGATTTTTGTATAAAGTTTAGATTTTGCAGAAGTGGAAGAAAACAGTTATTTTTATAGTTGCAGGCCTGAAAAAAGCCAGGTAGGTATTTCTTCCTGCTTCATTATGATTCATACTTTATCAGTGGAGCTGAAGAGAGTCACAACTGTTCCTGGCTGGAGAGAATATCTGTTGCTCAAAGCCCACAGCATGGTCTGTATATTATTTATGTATTCACATATTTAAGTAGAGTTGTAAGTAAGTTTTAATGAATTAAAGAAATACCTATGGTATGACCACTGAGAACATGGCCAATATCTATACAAATCACTGCTGTCCCTAAACCCTCTTTGCATTCAATGTACAAGTTAACCTCTTCTTGCCTCACAAGGAGAGATAAGTCTTAAGCTACATATCCTGTTTAATGGAGAAGTTTCAAGACTTTCTGTTCCCCTGTCTTTTGTTTGTTCTTCAAATCCTAAGATGAAAGCCTCCAGCGCAAGTTGCCCGCTGTGCTCGGCCCCAGTACCTGTTCAGTGAGGTCAGGGCTACGTGTGGTCGGGAGCAGCGCTGCTGGGCACTGGCATCCTGCCAGCAGAAAACAGATGCATCCCAAGTAAGCTGAGTGTGAGAGGCTTTGTCACAGCTGTGGGATGTCCCCTGGGTGAAATCCTGCCTTACTCAGTCTGGAGAAAATCTTGCTGATGGCAGATGGGCCAATGAGGCCTCGAGGGCTATAGCTTTTCTTGCAAATTAAGGATGCCCAGGGCTGTCTTCTGCCCCTGGAACTGACTGGCACAGTCTGGAGATGCCCAAACTGCTCAGCTCCTTGCATGCTGGACTCAGAAGTTGCCTAGGAGAGTGCTTATAAGCCCACAGTGCCGGCAGCAGAGCTGCAGCTCTGAGCCTTGCACCAGTGTTGGTAGCCTGACTGAAGTTGAAATTTAAAAATAATAAGGAAGTAGACAAAAAGACATGTAATAAAAACACCCCATCAACTTTCTGATTTTCTTTGGAGATGATCAGATAATAGACAAGACAACTAATTTGTGATACCAAAGTTTTGGTTGCCTTTGTTGAGAATTGAACTCCTTCGTTATCTGTAGTGCTTCAAAAGAGCCTACATGATTCCCAGGCCTACATGTGTGTTGAAGCACACAATTTTCAAGCTTCTGAGTATTTAAATCTAAATCCTTGGAGCCTCACTGGATTTATGCATTTGTTAATATGACAATTATTTGGATTGGGGTTATCTCAGCTGCTTGTCATCTGGCAGGTGTGAAAGCTCCTGTCACTAACATTGCGATAACTTTTCAGATACCAAGCAGTATAAAAATACTGAGGCTGTAGTCAGAACAGTTTCTGAGCAAGTTATGTTCAAGGGCTGGTGCATCACGTCCTGTGAATCCAGCATTTGAGGTGGTGCAGATGCTCAATCAGAAGGAGGAGGAAGATGAGAGCAGCGTCTGAATGTGCTGGTCAGGAGAAGCCAAATGAGGTATGAAACTTGGCTTTGAGCTTTTCCTGTCTCGTTATATTTGGGAATAGGCTGAGATCCATTGCCAGGCAGGGCAGGACTGAGGGGAGCTGGAGACTAGTCCTGCTGCAGGAACTGAGAGCCCTTGAGGGGACTCACGTGGGGTCCTGGGCCATGGACAGGGTGGGGAAGCTGTGGGAGGGCTGAAATGAGATCTGACTGTGTGTTGTCGTTTAACCCCAGCCAGCAACCAAGCACCACACAGCTGCTTACTCACTCGCCTACCAGCAGGATCAGGAAAAGAATAGAAAGGGTAAAAGGCAGAGAACTCGTGGGCTGAGATAAAGACAGTTTAATAGGGAAAGCAAAAGCCATGCACGCAAGCAAAGCAAAACAAGAAATTAATCCACTGCTTCCCAAGGGCAGGCAGGTTTCAGCCATCTCCAGGAGAGCAGGGCCCCATGATGTGTAACTGTTACTTGGGAAGTCAAATGCCATCACTGCAAACATCCCTCCCTTCCTCCTTCTTCCCCACACTTCATATACTGAGCTTGATGTCATATGATATGGGATATCCCTTTGGTCAGTTTGGTTCACCTGTCCCAGCTGTGTCTGCTCCCAAACTCCTATGCAGCCCCAACTTCCTTGCCAGTGTGACAGTATGAAAAACAGAAGAGGTCTTGGTTCTGTGTAAGCCCTTCTCAGCAATAGCAAAAACATCTCTATATTATCAACCCTGTGTTCCTCACAAATCCGAACACATCCCCATACTAGCCACTGCGAAGAAAGTTAACTCTACTCCAGCCAAACCCAGCACACTGGGATAAGTAGAACTGGCAGTACCTCAGCTCTACATCCCTGAAACCAGCACTCCCTCAGTCCTTCATGACAGATGGTGAAGGAAACACTAAAAAGCCATTGCAATGGTCATTGCAGGTACTGCAGGTTACACCTTACAGCAGGTCCTTGGCATATACACTTCTCCCACCTGGTTCTATGCTGTGTAGGTGTAAATAAATTCTCTCTATATATTTAAATTTCCTATAAATTCTCTCCTTGGTTACACATGGCCTCTTCACAGATGCAGCTACAGGACCACAACTGACAAAGAAATAACTAAAAAATTTTGTGTTTAAATATGTTAGAAAAGTCACACAATTTAGAAGCCAGAGATAGAGTCTGCTGAGGAAACTGCACCGCTAAATTCCTCTGGGAGTCTTACAGGTGTAAGACATGGTCACCCACAGATTTCAACTCTAGTCTAAGGAGTTCAGAAAGATGTGTAAGAAGTCTGAGCAAGAAGCTCAGACCTGAATTTTGTCACAATTGTAGTCTTCTTCCCCTCCCACCCCCTTTTTTTACAGCACAGCTGAAGATACAAATATTTTTCCAGTGCCTTCACTGAAGGCTTTTCTGTTCCACTTCTCTCCACAGACATCTGTGATTTGTGCCTGGCAAAGGGCTGACACATTTCACAGTGAACAACACTCTCTGGGGCTGCAGTGGAAGAAAAGGAGAGAAAAAAAAGTAGCTTCTGCGGAATGAAGAGAGATTGCTGACAGCTGGTGAGATCTGTGTGAGCAAGGATTGGGCTTTGTAAACCTGTGAGCCAGCCAGTCACCCCGATGTGCCTATGCATGCTGTCAAGGGGGAGGATGTATCGACTCAGAAGTACACCCTGTCTTTGGTGCCATCCTAGTCTCTCACACAGGTCTCCTCTGTCTTCATTCCCACAGATGTCTACACAGAATAGCACAAATGCTTTCTCTTCAAAGGCTCACAGGGAGAGGTAGGGGAGCTGAGCGTCCCACCTTCTCCACACACCCAACCCCAGGCTTGCTGTAGGAGTCAACAACGTCATGCCAGGGCCAACACCATGCTCTGGTGGCACTACACTGCGGTGACAGCCTCCTAAGGTCTCCTGGCAAATCTAGTCATAAGACCAGTACTTTAAAGCACTAATACACATCCAATTTAGTCAGAAACTCTGTTGTTATAATTAGAGAGAGTGCACATTCCGTGATACAGCCATGCCCGCATAGGAGTTCTTGGCCAGCACAGTTGTGTCTGTCAGGGAAAACTGTTCTTCACACCTTTGACAGATGTATCATTGCCAAGCAGAAGTCTGTTTTGTAGACCTGGCCTTGCTCTGTCCTTCATGTTTGAAATGTGCTTTGAGAACCACAGGTATTTTTCACACAAGATAAGAAAGCAGAGGAGGAGGCTGAAACAATGGCCAGTTGTTTTCCACTCAGGACAGTATTGTTCAGTGGGTTTATCTTATTGGTATTTTTATCACATCACCTCTCAAAGGTATCTGTACTACTTGCAATATCTCAGGAAAAAATAGAAGAGACGAACTTGAAAAAAGGAAGGTTGGAGTCAATTAACCCATTCATCTATGGGACCGGGTGGCCCAGCTCCTGCTTCAGCAACTCTGTTCTCAATGATAAACTTCCCAGCATTGAATGAGCAATGGGCAGTTGAGCTGTGCTGCAGTGCTGGGGTTGGCAGAGAGTGTCCCAAAGCAGTGCTCCAGCCTTGGCAACGACAAGTACACAATTGGTGTCTGTGAGGATGAGCACTGAAGCAAACTTGCCTCTCACTGGCACTCTGAATGCTGTTCCATGTTTAAATAACTGGTGGACCAACAAGAGGAAACAAATCCCAATTATTCTGCATTGCCTTTGCTGTTTGTGCTGTGCCTGATATCCATTTCAGCTATTGGAGGTGGAGGGAAGGAAGAAGATAATAAGGAATAAAGAAGTGTAATAAAATGCCAGACAGGCACATTACAGAAAGAGAACAGGGAAAGCATAGCCACCTTGGGTACAATAAATCTTATCTTTAAATACTTTAAGCAGCTTTCTCACAATGATGGATTCCTTGGAGAGACTTAAACTAGAATTGATAGTTAGGGAACTACAATCCTAATTTTAAATGAGCTCTTAAAAGCAGAACTAAAGCCCTATCTGTATCAAAATTCAAACTGAACCTAGGAAGGCAATGATATATGACTCTAGGGTGACTTGGTAGCCATATATTTTCAACAATACTGTAAGCAGCAGGAGGTTAGAATGAAGTAGCCTCTGATGGTGTTGGCATGCTGGCAACAAGTAGAATTATAGGAAATCTGATGCCAATACTTGTCAGTCTTTGGGAGCAAAATATATGTATATACTTCAAGACAAAAAAAATACAAAAAGGAGACATTTAATAGACACAGTCCCATACTTCCCTGAGGTGAATTCTGATACAGAATACATTCTCTATCTTACATATACACAACCGTAATGCTCAAATCATGTCTGTGTCTGATTGTATGTTGTGACCTTTCCTATTCCAGTAACAAACTTAAAGGAAAGTGATGAAAAACATTAGACAGGTGAGCCAGCACACTGCTGTGCTAGGAGAAACCATCTCTGCTGCAATCATATAGAGCTAAAAGTTCCCTCTGTGAGATCTGGGCTGGGTCTGACCTTGGGAGCCCAAATTCATCACTCCCATCAGCATTGGGAGTGGCACCTGTTACAGCTGTTCCTAGCTTCAGCTGCCTGCTCCCACTTTTACTGGAGAACATCCCTTCCTCTAGGGCAGTGGCAGGACAGATACTGTGCTGGTTGCTCAGCTGGCACTGCTCAATCTCTTTTAATAATGATTGACTGAATTTTGATTGGTGAACAGGGCAGTTCAGCACAGAACAGGCTACCTGTTCTGCCAGCTCTCCTTCTATGGGAACTTTGATCAGCAAGAGATTGGGACAGGCTCTGGCAGCTTTTATCGTCGTATCTAACAACAATGTTCTGAATGAGAGGTCAAACTCTCTGATTGGGCCACTATGAAGGGTATTGAACTTTACATGCGATCACAGCAGTGGGGCTGGAAAACAGCTACAGGTGGTTACATCTTGAACTATAGCAGCTTTATCTGACAATGGGTGCAAATCTGAGCTATAAGTCCCACTACAGGTAATGCATTTTTTATTATAGGCTTTAACTGAAATATGGGTAAGACTCATGAGGTGTGACTTTTGAATTCTTCAAAAGACTTTCCTTCTCAAACTACAAAAACTCTCAAACAAACAAACAAACAAACAAACAAACAAAAAAAATCCTGTGTGCTTAGGGCTACTTTTTTATGAGATCTGCAGATCTGCATCAGATGTCACAGGTGCCGGCTTACATGGGGTCTTTAGTTGATTCACGGTTCAAAGACATATAGTTCTCTTTCACAACTATGTAAGAAGTTTGTGAAATTTCTATTTGGGGCTCAGAAGGAGGTTTTGCCACAATATGGGCAACTTGTGGGCAACTTTTCCAGCACTCTTCACACCTACATAGTCATTGCCAGTACATCTGAACAACTGTTCGGTCCTCAACAAAGGTGTGTTGGGGGGCAAGGGGGAATGGTTTTAAACTGAAAGAGAGCAGGTTTAGATTAGATATTACGAAGAAATTCTTTACTGTGAGGGCAGTGAGGCACTGAAACAGGTTGCCCAGAGAAGCTGTGGATGTTCAAGGCCAGGTTGGATGGAGCTCTGAGCAACCTGTCTACTGGAAGGTGTCCCTGCCCATGGCAGGGGAGTTGGAACTAGATTATCTTTAAGGTCCCTTCAAACCCAGGCCATTCTATGATTCTATGACCTGTGAGGAAATTCTCCCCATGAAATGTAACGTGTCCGGAGATTAATGAATTACAGCAGCACATCCTTTGAGGCACAAAATTCCTGCTGAAATGATACTTGCACTCATATCTCTAATTCACCTACCTGATTATTTTTGTACTACCCCTCAACGTGGCACATACATGTGCAGCTATATATTCTGCAAATGACATGTCTGGCTTGGTAAAACAAATAAGGCAGCTCTTTTCTATATCTTAGTGGAATTATATTTTGCTAATATTTTTTATGTCTTAAGAAAAACATCTCTGATTCATTAAGGAGCAAAATTAACCAGGAACATTAAAACACTACCTCCCACTGACATGACTGAAGCTGAATGACTAAAAGTAGGTATGTTGAAAGAGAGACTTTGTGGGAGAAAAAGAGAGTTGTTATTGGCCTCCAGAACTCAAAAGCAAATGTTCTTTATTTTGTTGCAACAGCAAAATGTAAATGGTGTGCCTTCCAGTGCCATGTGGCAACTGCCCGGAGGGCTCTACTCATGGGTTCCAGCTGCATGGTGTGAAAAGTAGCTCACCCAGATTTAAAACCAGCAGATTTGTTCAAAGGTTACAACTTTGCACACAGAACAGTGTGAGGCTTTTTTCCCCAAAGAGGGCTGGAACTCAAAGTTTGAAGCAAAAAACATGCAAGGGCAGCTTAGTCGAGTGTGCTTGATCTGTTTTTTGCCCTTCCTCAGGCAAGATGAGTTAGTTCAGAAGCAAACTTCATTATTATCACAAGCTGGTGGTGAAATGCGCTAGAGGTATATTTATTTGTTAAATAAATGCAGGGAGTATGCTTCACTGCTTCACCACACCCACATGAAGCTCTGAATAATTACAGGCTTGTTGCCAGACAAGCTAGGGTTGTTGGATTTTTTGGTTGTTTTTTGCAAACAGAGTTCTTATTCGTAAGTCATAAATAACTGGCTTTGATGGAGAAGATAAATTCTCACAGAAATGCTTAATGATTGTTCTAAGTAGACTTCTGCAACAAAAAGGGGGGTTGTATTTAGTTATTGCTAATAGTCATTCCATGTTAAACATCAAAAGATAAGTTTTCTACCAGATATAAACCAGACTGAGATAGTAGAACATTATGTAGAATAGGAATTCTCTTTCCAAGCACCAGTTGTTTCCAAGCACCAAGCACAGCATGTTAAGAAAAATTGGCTTTAGTAATTTTAAAATGGCTATTGTAGGTGCAAAGCTTATATACTCTTCAATGTGTCTACCTCCTATCTCAGAAACACTCAGAATTTTGTCGTGGAGTGCATGTTGTGCCATCTAGGATTGTATCAGTCCAATATTATTTAATTGTATCACTCTGGTGGAGTTCTGGCTCTGGGTATCTTCATGTTCTGGTGGCTATCAGCAGTCAATGATTTTTCTTGCTTCCTTGCCCATTTTGTGGGCCTGGAAAGGGCAGTGTGAATATCAGGCTTTGCTGCTGACTGCATCCATTCCTTGTAAACGTCTAAGTGGATGAGTGTGAGTCATTGCTCTTTAAACCTGGTCACTTTGTGGCATAGAGGGAGAATATTATGGGGACTCATATCTCCACAGCTTTCCAGCTGGCATCTTTCACCACATTTACACAAAAACTAAAGGAGAGGGAGGGATTGCTTGCTCTAGATATCCTTTCCTGATTAATGTTCTTAGTCATATCTTAAGCTGTCCTTAATGACTAGTCAGCATTAAGAGACTCAACTACTAGCAGAGCTCCAAACATCATGTGGCCATGCTGCTGTGGTAATTACACCATAGCTAGTGGCCAAGAAAGTGGTATCGTATACAACTAGTCAACACCTTCAGCTTGCTTACCTTCTGCTTCCAATAAATCTGCAGGAATGTGGCCTCGAGGCAGGAGTGGGAGAAGGAACGTGTTGTACACTGTTTGGGAGGACACATGGTGGGCATCCACTGCTGATCAGGTGCCCTCTGTGCTGTGGGACTGCAAGTGAGAACCACAGCCATATCCCCCCAGTTCTGCTGTCTTATGCTCTCTTTTTACTTGTCATTGCTCTTGTTTAGAATTTAGGCAAATAACAAAAGTCTTGGCAATTCTATGTGAACGCCTGTGCAGGTCTGCCCACATATTGGTAGTGCTGGTGGCAATAACTATGGCTAACAGGGCTTGAGTATAAAAGCAGCTGATAATCAGTGGGGCAGAGTACTTGTCTCTCAGATTTTTCTCCCTATGATAAATTGTCCCTTTGGAAATCAAAGGGGTCATTTACTATTTCTTAATCTCCTTTCCTCTCCCATACCACCTTTGCTTGTTCTCCTATTAATCTTTTTCCCTATCTTAATAAAAAAGGCATATAAATATGTCAAAACATTCCAAAGTATTAATACACTTTCTACACAAATTTTCTACACTTTTTCCTACAACTCTGCTAAGGGTGGATACACTGTGCAGTGAGTCTGAGTCTCATAAACATTCACTTCTGACTCCATGTCTGGATTCACTTGTTTTAGAAGCTTTCCAGGCTATTTGATTGGGATTTATTCCTCCCATAGTTTCCTTATTCTCAGTCTACTCTTTCTGACATTTCATTATGGTAAATAAGAAAAGGCTGTCACTACTGTACAATGACTATTGTTTCAAGCACCCTTTGTCTCTGGCTGATTTATATTTCTAAAAGTCGGGGCAGGGGAGAATGGTTGCAACAATGTGTGAGGAACAATGGCATCCTCTGTCTTACACAGAGAGGCCGGAACACAGTCAAGAGAGTTGGAGGTAAGCCACTCAGTAGATTAGAGCTGCAAAGTCTACAGTAGGTTGAATGGGAAAGGTGGAGGGGAAGCTGTGAAGAAATCTTTTTCAAAACCTTTAATGCATGGCATTTTTGTGGCTTTCCCTCTCCAGGAGTTGATATTGCTAATCCCTTTCTAAATGGTGTTTGAACACTGCTGTCCTCAGGGGTCCACCCATCTCTCAGCTCCACCTCCTTATTCCCTGCTCCTTTGTTTATGCATCCTGGTCTAAATCCTCATGGGATTGATAAGGAAAATAACTGCCTTGGCATTGCACACTGCAGGACCAGAATGCTTGCTGAAGTTGATTAACAGTGGTCAAAGAATATTTTAGGTTGACTACTTGCCTGGCTCTGAAAGTGATGGAGTGGAAGCTTGCATAAGAAATTAAGGTATTCCTTTTCACTTGCTTGAGAAACTGGTCCAAGGAAGATGTTGGAAAAGAGTACAAAATACAGTGCTTGTCATAGCAGCGTTGTCAATTATTCCCAGATTAGTGAGGGCCCATCGTTCTGGAGGAATAATTGGGGAAGATTGACCATAACCCATGGTTATATCTAGCTGTTGGAGATTAGTGATTTGCAGGCTGATATAACTATTCTGCTTCTGGAAGTGACCTTTTGTCCAAGGGGACAGAGGTTCCTTTTTGCTCAAGTTAGTGGAGTTGACCCCAGCTGAAGGTGTGGCTTAAAGGCTATGGTCTCAAAATCTATCTTGACTTTTTCCTGTTGCTTTTTATTTACTAGTAGAAAATCGATCCTCAGTAGGATATAAACACTGTGCTGATATAATTCACCCTGAAATTTCAATGGGATGTGATGTTCCCCCTCTCTTTCTTGTTATCTGTCCTGTTGTGCACCCTAGTTACATTTGAGAGATTATTAACCAAATACGCATTGTGCACCCTCAGTAGAGAATAGTCACAAATAAATAAATAGATTACTAATTATTGGCTTTTTATTATCATCTTGCTGCTCTTACAAGTTTTGTTTACTAAGTGGAAACATGCTAAGAAGATACAGAAGTGTGATGGAAATCAGACAAGTCAGATAATAAATATGTTTGCTTTGTGATAACCAGTGGGAGCATATTGTGTAGACAAGAAGAGTGCTCTTCAAAACAGGATATGGGCATCTCCAGAGATTTACAAAAGGAGTGGTCAGATGCTGGACCACTCTCTTTAGCTGTAAAGATGGTTAAAGGCATACATTCATTTTAGTTTCCTTTTATTTTATAGCATCACTCAAGCAAGTGAGAAGAGAGCAAATAGCAAAGTCAGTCAATAAAGCTAATTGTATCTGACAATCTGGTTAAAAGCATCATTAGCCAGTTGTCAGGACTACTCCTGCTCCAGTCAACAGACAACCACTAGATATATCACACTTGGACATTTCTAAAGTTTAGGGGTAGCTCTGGTCCTTCAAACCAAAGCTGCAGACCTCTTTCAAATGAACTAAAGCAGGCTGGCCTGTGCTGTTTGCAGATGTATGCTCTGCAGGGATAGGCACCCTTGTTCAAACTAATGACAGTAATAATAATGATGTTAGTAATAACAGTACCAACATATTGAAATGTGAAATAACAGGGCCCTAAGCAAAAAGTTACACTAGTCAGATAAGTGTAATGGATGTGGGTTTGTTTGCCAGATCCAGACATTGCTAACCATTTTTTAAATAGTCCTCACTGGAGGTAAGCTGCCATTTTTGTCTCATTAAGGCCTGTGTGAAATGGAGGGGCTGATTATGGATAATAATATTATTAAGGGTTATAGTTATTGATAATACTACCATGAAGGTGGCACTGGAACAAATTGCAACACGGTGTGGATGTCCGATCCCTGGAAGTGTTCAAGGTCAGGTTGGATGGGGCTTTGCACAACCTAGTCTAGTGGAAGGTGTCTCTGCCCATGGCAGAGGGGTTGGAACTAGAAGATCTTATAAGGTCACACCCAAACCATTCTATGATTCTATGATTCTGTGATTCTGTGATTCTATGATTCTTTTATTCTATGATTCTATGATAAGGAGTGTTTTAGAAGAGACGTGGCAAAAGAGATATATCTTCAGGGGATGCCACTTTTTCAGCCAGAGGTTGGATGGGGAATAGAGGGCAGTGTGTCTGCTTACTGAGGTCTCCCACACGCTCCTTTGGGATGTCTTCTTCTGGGTCTTCTCTGAGGTGCCACTGAACGCTGCATCTGCAGCTTGACATAGTCAATCAGTCCCTACTTAACAGTACTTTATTACCAGCAAATTGCTGAAGCTGTTTCCTTCAGGCTTGGCTTTAACCCCATAATCTGTTTAAAGAGTTGAAGGAGAGAGATGACAGAGAAGTAGAGCAGCACTAAACTGGAGATGCTATCAACAGCACCAAATAAAGTCATCGCCTGCACTGGGAGGCAGCACAACTGCATAGTTTCATACTCAGGCTAGTCTGGAGGGGGTCTCCTGCTGCCACCTTTCCTTTGCAGGCAAATCCTGTCCCCTTTGCTTTCTGAGGTCTACTGAAGTACTCAGAAATGATCCAGCTGTGCGATAATGTAATGAGAGCTGCTGCCCTGGCTGTCAGCTCTTGTGGCTAGGGATACAGGAGTGACATGCAGTCTGCTGGCATGCAGCCAGGCAGCTGGGGCTGCTACTAGTTTTGTCTTGAAGGCCAAAGGAAATTTTAAATAAATATTCTCTTCAGGAGGGCAAATGCCAAGGCTTGGATTTAATGGAAATATTATTCCCAGAGGGAAGTGTACATCATGTGGGGCTCTCACAATGAGATGCAGACTTCTGAAGATATTTCTTAATGACATTATTTATGTTTATTTTTCAGTGCTGTGGTAGGTCCCAGGAGCTATGAACCAAGTACCTCTTAACCTTGGGACTTTCTAAACACAGGCTGAAAGGGTGATCTTGTTCAGGAAAGCTTTCTCTCTTTGGCAAGCTGACATTTGAGCTGATACTGTTTTACTTAAATCAAGCTAAGAAAATGAGTGCCTGTTTTTCCAGCTGGGTGCTTACCTGTCTCTCTCTCTCTCTCTCCCTGTCCTTTACTTGGCCATGTCTCTCACCTTTATGCACTGTGGCATTCCTTGTGCGGCTTTGTCGCTGATAATGTCAGAACGGCCAAAGCGACACAAAAAAAGGTTCCAGCAAAGTTTATTCCAAGAAAAAAGCAGGGACCGCGGGGCTGCTGCCCAGCCCCTTAAGTACAGTTTTTGAACACACGTAATGCACATGGATAGGACAGTTCAAACTTTCACACCAGAATTCTTACAGCTAATAGGTGCATTTTCTAAACTCTACTTTCTCACAACAACTTTACTCTTTCTCAAAACAGCCCAGTTCTTTCCCACAACAGTCCCGAGCACCTGCTCTTATTTTTCTCTCATGTTGATGTTCTTCCCAACTACTCTCGTTCAAAACAGGTCCTTGTTCTCATGAGACAGTGCTCCTGTTTTCATGAGACAGTGTTCTCTGTTCCCACGGGACAGCTTCTTCAGGATGCATCAGTATGTTGTCAGGATCAGGGCCTCCATTTTCAGTCCTCTCTTTTCAGTCCATCTCAGGGGTATACTTTGATCCGGTCAACATCTATTGCTTCATCAGCATGTGCCAAGGTGCTGACAGACCCGCTGTCACCCGTGACACGGCTTCATCATTTCCATTTTCAAGTGTGTGCTCTGATTCAGTCATTTGTAATAATCACTTGGGATACTGTAAATAATTTACAAAGGAAAAAAATTCTTTTCCCTCCCCAGTTTTCCTGTCTTTATTTCATCATGTTAGGAGCTTTCTGATAGGGATAATGATGATCCGTGAAGGAAGGTATAAAGCATTACTCTGAGCCCTGTTCAGCACAATCCCTGCCCTAACTTGGAATAGGGGAAAAATGAGGAGCTTATACAGCATCTTACTCTGACTGGACACATCTTGCTTTGTATGATGGGCAACTGGCAGGTTCCAATCTGCTTTCCATATTGTTTATTGCTCATTTTCCCTGCTGCACACATTAAAAGATATGAACATTTAAGAAGAAACTTCTGCTTTGGTCAAAGTTACATCTAAGTGCAATTTAATATTCCTTAGGGAAATAAGAAGCCAGACAATTCTGATGAAATTAGGTTCCTTCTCTGTATAAATTACGTCCAAACTATTTTTTATATGGTGGCTGGAAGCACCATGGTCACTAATAGAGACATAGAGAAAAGGTATTTAATTTATCTCAGTTTATTATGTATGCAATTGCTATAACCTAGTTTGCCTTGTTAAAGTTAACCTGGAATTAGTACTTTAGATGTTAGGCTCTAAATTAGTGATTTCAGACAGCTGTTCCATGAGTGTCTGAGCAGTGCTTGTGGCCCAGCTGATGATTTTAAAAGCAGAGCTGGGCTTGAGCATTAAAGGTGGGAAATGTGTCAGCCATTCTCATCAAGGCAGACCCTTCTGGCTGCGTAAGGGACTCCCACCAGCAGATCTGTGAGGACCACTGTTCTCACATGCACTATTCTGCCATGCACCTCCATGCATCTCTGCCCTCCTGACTGGTGCTTCTCTGCCCTCTTAGTGGCTTAGCTTGGAAACTTGAACAGGCTAAAAAATAACACAGAAATAAAAGCAAGTAGTCTGCAGTTGGTTAAGATCCCTGAGCAGATGGCAACAGACGGCGTGGCCTCATGATGAGGAAACAGCAAAAGAAAGGCAGTGACAGAGTGAGGGATTACATCAGGGAAGACTTGGATCAGCCGCAGGTGCTGCGGAACAGCACCCTTGGAGATCCAGGGATGAGAAATATGGAGAAGAAAGACAGTATTGCACCCACCATGAATTGGAAATGTGAATCATAATTTAACTACACGTGGAATGGGAATTTACGTGAGTCTTGACCATACTGATCAATAATACTTACGGTGCATTCAGCTCTTCATAAATCTCATGGGCTGTTAAAAAAAGATGATCAAGAAGGAAATACAAGAAAAGTGTAAAGCGCCATGAGAGGTATACAGAAGAGAACAATTATGTTCCTACTAATTACATTAGGCACTAAGAGGCACCCACAGAAATGATCAGTGAATTAAAAAGAAATGGAAGGAAATGCTTTTTCTCACTATGCAGAACTAAGCTGGTTGGCGAGGGGCCATGGAACTCAGATGTCCAGAGTCACGGAGTGTTGCTCCATACACCAAACTACACTGCTCAAGCACAAAGGACACTCGCCAGCAAAAATAGTAAGAAAAATCTTTATATATCATAACATACTTTGGCTTGGAGAGGATCTCAGAGGTCACCTGGTCCAAGCCCTGCTCAAAGCAGGACTAATGGTGATGATAAGTTACATTGTTACATGATCAATGTATAATCAAAATGTCCACATTGTATTGGTCTAGATGTGTATAGACCACTTTTTATCCCATCTTTCCTAACTTTTGAGTGCTTTTTTGCGATGCACTAGAGAATTTCCTGGTGGTAGACTGGGAGAGGCAGTTGGGTAGTTTGCTGTGTAAGAGTTGTGACTTGTCTTAGCAATTATAAACCCCACCTGCAATTATTTTTAGGCATAAAAGAGTAAGCTAGCTTTAAAAAGCATGTCTTAAGAGCTGTATGAATGTAGCAAAATTGCAACATTGCCATGAAGAAATGTGCTGAGGCATGTGAGCCTTCAGCAGATTTAGTCTGCTGACAAACTGGATCTTGAGTGGCACCATCTTGGTGAACCAATTAAATAACGGGTGCTAGTTTCCTAAGGGTATGACCTGAGGGAATTTTGCATTGTTCAGCTGAAAGTTGGAATTAGTGAGTCAAAGTCTTCCCTGAATTAGACTAGTTAAATAGTGACCTCATCTTTGTTACCCCAGATTTCCATTTGATAAGCACAGGGTCTTATACCGCAAATATGTACTGCAAAAGTAGAAGGCATTAAATTTCCATCCAGTTTTGGAATTAAATCTTTCTCATTTTCTCTGAAATGAAGTAGCTACATTGTGCTTTCAGTATATGATAAGAAAAAAAGTTTGGCTTAATCAGGAATAAAAAGGAAAAATTATGGGATAGGATAGCCTGCATGAAGGAATGCTTCATGCAGGTCATGAAGTTAAAAAATTAGGAAAGTTTGAAATTATGGATTCATGAATAAGCAGAAAATTAAATTAGGAACATAAGCTTACATTTCAGTCTCTGACCTAGGTTCAGGTGTAAAGGACAAGGGATGTGATTGCATGTAAAAGGCTACATCCCATCGGTCAGTGGAACTGACTGAAATGGTGGCTGATGCCTTCACAGTCATATGACAGGTAGCCCACATTCATCTAGGAGCTCTGGGAGCTCCAGAGCACTTCTGCCTCAACTGTCTGTGCATGCACTGGGACTCTGAGGACTTTGCAAGGCAGCCTACTACAGCATGAAAAAAGGATAGTTTGGGGAAGGATTGCAATAAGCACATCCAAGCAGTAGAGAACAAATGAATGGGATCAAACTAAAGAAACCGTGAGGCAGAAGAGAGGTGGATCAACAGAAATTGACTGTAGAAAACAATGCTTGCATATACAATATATAAGCTGTGAAAATCAGTTCAGTAACAAAGTGTAAACAGTGAAATGAAACTTTACAGCTTTGTACAGAGCAAAATAAACCAATGCCATCTTAATGGCAAAACCATCATGGTCATAGTTCGTCTCTAGGAAGGCAATTCTCTGGTGGGTACCCACTGAAAAGCTGCGATCAGGAAGCAGAAATTCTGCTTTGTAGTATCTGGGGGAGCTTATGGGCTACACTGAGGTGACAAACCACCTATGAATTGATGATTCAACAGTAAATCGCATGAAGGAAATATGCTTCCCCCTGAGGACTCCCAAAGCAATGAGGAGTGGAGGCAAGAAAGGGTTTCACAGCAAAAGCAAAGCAGGGGTATTTTCCTGCAAGTGTTACTCCATTCCTGTTGGCTACATGTAATCTACTATCTTCTTGCAATGTGCTAGGCTTTGAAGAGCTGGGTGGCCAAGACATTGCTTTCTCAATGAATTTGCCTACTGCAGCCTTCAAGGGAATGACATACCACAGGACACAGAAGCCAAGAGATTATCAGTCTTTGGCCAGGCAGTAAAAAGGTAAATGGGAGCAAAGAAAATGAAGAACAGAGCCTGCAGACCTGTGAGGAGGTCAGAGTCCCATTGATTAACAATCCAATGAGGCAATGACAAAGGCAGGAGCCCCGGTAAAGCACAGGTCATTCGAGATGGCAAGGGATTGGAAACAAAGGTGACGAGATCAGTAACACAGTGGTGTCTGCTAGCCAGAAACTTGGGAAAGGTCCAGAATGTGCAGAACTTCAAGTCATCTGCTGATGGAGAAGAGCCACAAGTAGGGTAGATGGGTAACCAAAAGGGACAGCCAGACCCTGCCCCGCAGAAGGAAAGCAGCATGAAGACAAAGCAACAAAATAGAAAGTGGATTCAATGGGCATCCCAGGGCTTTGAGGTACATCTTTCTGCAGTGGGAGTTCACTGAAAGACGTCCTCAGAAAGAGTTACATTCCAGTAAAATCCTGCCACAGTGAGTCAGAAAATTCTTAAGTAATATGCAGAAAATAAGACTTGGAGAAAGTCCTCCAGAGGCTGGAGAAGAAGGAATTAGCATGCAGCAGGACAATGCTTGTTTTTGCACATCATTTCACAGGCTACAAGGATAAAATGTCTGTAGGGAGTTACTGAGCTACTCAGGTTTCACTGCCTGGAAACCTTTGCATCGATATCCAGCATCCAGCAGGTCAAACAGCAGCACCCTGCCACAGAAGCTGATGCTGGTTTTGGAGCTGGTGCTGACCTGATCAGTGACCTTTTGTATTCCTGCTTTTGCCACAAGTAGGAAAAAAAGTGTCTAACCAGTCTAAATTATTTACCCAAAACTTTTGGGTTTTACCTCGTGCCTGTGCTAGAAAAAAACCCGGCCAACCAACCAACCAACTGAAAAAACTAGAAACAAAACAAAAAGCAACAGAAAGTGTTTGTTATCATTTTACATTGGGCTTCATTCGCTTTGACACCAGCAGCGAAAGGACTGCCCTTGTGCTGGCGTACCTCAGAGCAGGGCTCCGCAAGCTGCCCGGGAATGTCAGAGCGCGATTGGGTGATCTCCCTCTCCCAGGGAAGCGGCTTCGGGGCCGCGCCCGGGTGGTAGATGTGGGAGCGCGGAGCCGGAGCGCGGAGCCGCAGCACCACCTCTCGGTAGACTCCGGGTCATGGTTTCAGCTGGGATAGAGTTGATTTTCTTCCCAGTAGCTGGTGGAGTGCTGTGTTTTGGATTCAGTATGAGAATAATGTTGATAACACAGTGATGTTTTAGTTGTTGCTAAGTAGCGCTTGCCCCAAGTCAAGGACCTTTGAGTTTCCCATGCTCTGCCAAAGAGCAGGTGCACAAGAAGCTGGGAGGGAGAACGGCCAGGATAGCTAACTGGCCACAGGGGCATTCCCCAACGAAGAACATAATGTCCAGTATATAAAGAGGAGTAGCTGGCCGGGAGGGGCTAATTGCTGCTTGGGGACAGGTTGGGCATCAGTCAGTGGGTGGTCAACAACTGTATTGTG